AATTTGATTATACATTTGCCCACTAAATGTGAAGTAGGTTTTAAGGCAATCTCGTAGCAGTTCGAGCAAATGTTCAGACTTCAGGGGCTTTTCGCTGTCGTCGTAGCGTTCGTTTGGAAGTTGTCTTACAACATCAATCACTATTTGCTGTGGAATAGAGGTGAAGAGTGAAACAACATCGAAGGATACCATGGATTCATCTGGCTTCAACTGTAGATGTTTTATCCGTTCAAGAAACTGTTTGGCAGAAGCTACGGTTGTGTTCGAGCCTTTTGCCAGGAACTTCAGATGAGTAAACATCCATTTTGCCAAACCGTATGTAGGGGTGCCACGAAGGGAGACGGTTGGTCTAAGTGGTATGTTTTCTTTGTGAACGCTCAGCAGACCATAAAATCGCGCTGAGGCTGTGTCGGTTGGCTTCATGGAAAACCAATCACTGGGCGTGATTGCGCCGTTTTCTTTCAGTTTTGCCAAACTCTTGCTCATCTGGATAAGCAAATGTTTCATTATACTGGCTGGACATGCCTTGTACGAAGTTTGGTCGTTATGTAGGCGGAAAGAAACAACCAATTACCCTTCCTCAATGTCCTTGTGCGCCAGTGTTCAACTGGAATATTGCAAACCACAGTATTCAAAAAGGCCACCGACAGGAATCAAGTGCTACATTTTATTATCAGCGTATTCACACGCATTTTATCCTTGTCATCACTTCGTGTGATAGTAGTAAACCTTGTCGTTTGCAACTATCAAACGATCATCTTAATCAGTAACAATGTGATAATGCTTACGACAAAGCACGCGTGCAATGACTACCCGATATCCCTTTTCGGCAAATCGCCCGACGCGGTTGCTCCTCTGTGGTGTGCTATAGACCATTTAATACCGGTCTTCCCCGGAGCCTATATTTAGGCAGACGTTGTCTGTGCCGTCTTTTTAGTCCTGCTGACTATCATTTTTCTTCAAGCTTTAAGTTGGTCTGGATCATCTTTTCGCAAAATCCAAGTGAGCGGTCTTCATGCGGGTATTCACTTTCTGATTCCCTAGAATAGTTAAATTTGACGATGAAAAACAGTCACTCTACTTGCTTACATATGTAACTGCTATTTTTATTCCTTGGGACTAACTCGATGGGATCGAAGGTATAATGTATTATGCTGAAGTCGACTTCAAGTTTCGCAATATTTAATTTCTTTGTTAGGCTTCTACATTTGGCTAATGCTCCGGCTCGCAATCTCAGATCACTGCGCATCAGTTTTTGCGACCACATCACAAAGGACTCGTTAGCAAACGTTGTTGCTGCCTGTCCCCGGTAAGCACTGGGTTTTTTCTGCTATTTACTCGCTTATTCAGCGATCAGTTGTGTTTGAGCAGCGTACATTTTACATCATGATTTCTACGTTTGCATGCATTTCTCTTCGAGGCCCGCCCACCTGCCTCAGACATTGATTTTTAAATCCCTGCTTAACATTTTACAAGCCGACCATCTGTGCCATATTTCTGTGTCTAATTTCTCACCAGTACTATTCTCTTGATCATGTTTGAACCTTGTGACTCAGATTGTCACTCCACTTACCGCTGAAAACGGCGCTTGAGAAATTAATAGATAAAAAGTAATGAATTTGTGTGAATTGCTTATTGCACGAAGATGTATATCTGCATCCAGAGCTCCTAGCACTGCCTAACGAGCCTACATTGTGTGAGAGCTAGTTATTGATCAACGGCACTGTGTTTCGGTAGGAAGGGAAAAATCAGCCTTTTTTGTGGACTGTCTACTTAAATTTGATAGCTGCAGCCCAACAATATTCTTAGCCCCCGATTCGTTTTTTTAGAATAAACAGAAGAGCCCCGCGTATCTTGCTGCGAATTCCGAAAACACTTTTTCAAAAAAGCATAGAAACCCCTCCCGACATGCAACTGTTAAGAAACGCACTCGATACTCATGTTGCTCGTGTGGATGGACCATGAATTCAGTTAAGATGCACAGTGACTCTGTCATAAGTTGTTTCAGTTCACTTTTTTGCTCTTTCCTGTCCAGGGTTGAGCAAGACTGACGGACGGCGGGCAGATAAACAAAAAAGTGATCTTTCTACTCTGTCCACTTTTGATTGCCACTTCTGCCTTTTTACTTGTCAATCGAGGTGTTTTAGTCCCCGCAGTCTCTAGGTAAGATCGTCCTGTAATCCAAGCTAGAAGTAGGTATTTTGGTTTTGTAAAGATCATGGCAACAATTATATAAAAAGATTTTAGCGGAAAAGTATGCTGGCAATTAAGAAAATTCCGGCAACACGTTAAGGCCGCAAGTCGTCTTTCGACGAATTTTTCGCCTTAATACGTAGAAATAACGCATAAGCTTACTGAAAGAGCAGTCGAAACGGATACTGCCCAAATACTTTTTTTCCAGCGATTGTCTTGGATGGGAGTTCAGCATACTACTGTCAGTGACGAAGAAGCCTATGTCATACGTCTCGGTACCACAACGTCACTTCTGTTTCTAAGTAGGCTTTGGCATTTGCTTCAACTTCCCAGTCTTAACACTCATTGCACCAAGATGAATCCTACAAGCAGCAGTTCTGTCACAACCCTTTAGGCTTACGTGGATCGCTTTGTATGGATTCTCTTGGATCGACAGGTGGAATTTCCTTTTTGATGTTCGTCCGAACCTAGTGATCCAGGCCGAAACTCAGACGCTTACGGCCGCCTCTGTTCAAGCTGACGGCGAGAAGGTACAATCTTAGGCAACTTGCACCGCACCATCACTCACCCTCCTAAAGAGACTTTAAGCACTTTCGCTACAGAAATCCGACTCCCTCGGCCGCGTTGTTCATAACTTCGGGTCTGTCGCTGCTTCCGATCCGACCACAACTTTTGACACCAAAAAGAATTCAAACACTGCGGTTGCTTATAATCTAGCTCTTCCTCCGTCCTTTAACTTTGTATTTTTCCTCTCTTTTATTTGGATTCATTCCAACCAAGGTTCGCCTTCATTTCCCACTTTCTTGTCATTATAAATAAGCCTGTATTCATTGTGCACCCGTGCCCATTGTTGACACGTCCTTGTGTACATAGGTAGCTGTCTTTTTTCTTGTGCTCTCGTGGCTGCTGAATGTACTTGTAAGTTTTATTTCAAAATTGCTTGAGGCATTTATCCCGACCGTTGTCTTAAATTACTTTACCCCCCCCCCTGCCCGTTGCACAACGGGTTCTC